ACACACACACACGCACTCACACACACACACACACACACACACATGCACTCAAACACCTGTGATACTCTTGTGATACCTGAGATAATTTTATCAGATATTTTTTAATAAATTTTTTTTCTATTAAAATTTTTCAGTTGTATTTATTTTATTTATATAGTATATATTTTTATTATATTTATTTTGCCCTTTCTTTTACATTTCACTTTCTAATTTTATTTTGTGTTTATTTTGTAGTTTGTAAGCCCATCATATTGTTCAGTTTATTGTAATTTGAAAGCCATCTTGTTGTAATAATGATAGTGTAGTATCATTGCCAATATTTTTTTTTTATAATTTAATAATTCATCATTTTCATAAATATTTGTATTAGTTTTTGTATATTTTTTATTGATTTTTTTTAGTTTTTTTTTTTTTTTTAGTGTCTATGTAGTTTTTTTAGTTTTAGTTAGGGTTAGTTTTAGTACTTCAAGGTAAACTAAATTAAAATAAGATGTGTTGCCTTTGCAACTAGCTACAATAAGTTTGTTTTAGGGTTAGGGTTAGGTTAGGTTTTATATTTTATTTTATTTTATATGTTTTATATTTTATTTTATTTCAGTTAACTCCAGTTAATTTCAAGTAACGAAAATGTTTTTATGGTTTTACTTTAAGATATGTTTTAGCACAATTTCATGTCAACTTGGAAATTCAGTCCAGTTAATTTCAGTGTCTCCTGAAAGGATACTGCGCACTAGTCTTGAGCAGATGTTGAGGAAGGCACTCTGATGATGATGTCACGTCTGCCGCTCCAGCTGTCTGGTGCCATGGTGACCCAGCTCTCAGTTGTTATGGGATGTACCGGTTCTGTTGCCGTGGTTACAGCAGCTGGTGTTTAGATGTGATCCATTAGCTGAAATAAACAGCTGTAAAACACAAACCCAGCACTGTGTCCTCAAGCACTTCCCTTTCCTGTCCCGACACTAATATCATAATCAACATTCATAGTTCATACAGTGATGAACTGTGTGTGTGTGTGTGGCTGTCCATCTGTCTGTCTCTCTGTCTGTCTGTCCGTCCGTCCGTCTGTCAGTCTGTCTCTCCGTCTCTGTCCATCTGTCTTGTCTGTCTGTCCGTCCATCTGTCTGTCTGTCTGTCCGTCTTTCTGCCTGTCTCTATGTCTGTCTGTCCGTCTGTCTGTCCATCTGTCTGTCTGTCTGTCTGTCTCTCTGTCTGTCTGTCTGTCCGTCCATCTGTCTTTCTGTCTGTCTGTCTGTCTCTGTCTGTCTGTCCATATGTCTGTCTCTCTGTCTGTCTGTCCGTCCGTCTGTCCATCTGTCTGTCTCTCTGTCTATCTGTCTGTCTCTCTGTCCGTCCATCTGTCTTTCTGTCTATCTGTCCATCTGTCTGTCTCTGTCTGTCTGTCCATATGTCTGTCTGTCCGTCCGTCTGTCCATGTCTTTCTGTCTGTCTGTCCATCTGTCTGTCCATATGTCTGTCCGTCCATCTGTCTTTCTGTCTGTCTGTCAATCTGTCTTTCTGTCTGTCTGTCCATCTGTCTGTCCATATGTCTGTCCGTCCATCTGTCTTTCTGTCTGTCTGTCAATCTGTCTTTCTGTCTGTCTGTCCATCTGTCTGTCCATATGTCTGTCTCTCTGTCTGTCTGTCTGTCTGTCTGTCTGTCTGTCCATCTGTCTGTCTCTCTATCTGTCTGTCTGTCTCTCTGTCCATCTGTCTGTCTCTCTATCTGTCTGTCTGT